GAAGCAGAGCTGACAGAAGCGCTCCTCATTTTTCCCCTTCCAGTTTTTGGGGGGGGCAGAAATGTAGAAAAGGGTTGTCAGTTCCTGTTCGTTTTATTTGGGAAATTTTCTGTGTCTACTTTCGGTTTTATAATTAATTTGAAAAAGCTTTTAATGGCTGGCACGCGTTTTGGCATAGGTCTGGACCCCCATTTTTCAGGGAGAGGAGTCCAGAAACCCTTCAGATGCGAGAGAGGGCAAGTTAAGGGCTCCTAATTGACTTGCCAATGGGAACGGATTGCCGAGGATTGGGCACACCGCTTAATCGGGCCTCCACTTGTCGAGCCACCTAGAAAAAAAATGAAAAACCCTTCAAAAGGGTGGGAAATAATTTACTTTACATACCCTTTGCGGCCCATCAAGAGTAGATCTCCAACGATTGAAATTATTATATACAGAAAAAACTACACGCCGGGATCAAATCTATATGCGCATGGTAAATTTCTAATATTTATATGCAAATCGTTTTTACCATGCAATACCGATTGTTCTCTCTCGGAAATTATCTGACTTTGAACAAGAGAGCGACTTAAATTAAGTGAGTGAGAATAACTAATTCTCTCAAGAGCATATCAAGTAAAAATGAAAACATCATAACATCAAATCGATCATCGTTTCATATCAATGTTTTTTTTGGGTGTAGACTACTTTCTCTAACTATCCTATATTTTTTTAAATATATATACTTTTTCTTTTGAGCTCTGCTTTTGAGTATTTTAGATAGCTAAACTTTTCCGGCGGGCTCAATGACACTTTCATGTTGTCCTGGCTACCTGGCTACCTGTGTCGCCCACGTATTTGCACCGGCAAGTTTTTCCTGCTTCCTGTTCTTTTGCAGGCTTCTCCGATCCGTCGCTGCTGCTGCTCCACTGAACAATTTTGGGGCCACTTTCAATTCACTAACAATTTAAGTGACGCCCGGGGCCGTCAAACTTTTAATAGCCAAAACGAGGAGCAGCAGGACGAAAAGGACGAGGGACGAAGGACCTAAAAGGGAGCTAGAACCTGCAACGTGAAACACGTGCGACACGGCCCGGGGTCTTTTATGGGTCCTGGGCTCACTCCCTCTCTGGATCCTGAGCTGTGGGTCCTGGAAAGATGCATAATTCGTCTTTGTGTATACACGCACATGGTGTTTTCGCTTTTCGCAGTGGGCGAAGCAGTGGGTGGGTGGCAAGGTCAAGGCTCCTGCCACGACTGCTACAAAGTAATTCGTTTCCGCTTCCGCTTCATTACTCTCGCCGCCTCTCGCACCCACCGAAAGCACTTAGAAAAAAAAGAAAATAGAAGGTAAATAAAACACAGCGGTGCAGAGCGAAATGAAATAAATCGAGACTGGTAAATAAAATGCGCAATTGACAGGCATAAAGGAAATGGCAGCGCCACCCACACAAACACACACACCCACTTGCTTACTTATTCGGCTGCAAGGATATTCCGAGGACTCACAGACAGCGATTCAGATTCAGATCCAGACGCATCGTCACCAGCTCCATTCGCTTTCCGCCGCTTCGTCGCCTCACCTGCCAACTGGAAATGCCAATGCCAAATGCTTATAGGCAAATACAAACAAGCAAATATCCACAGTGACTCTCGCAGGCGAGGGGGCGGCTATTAAGGGGGCGGGGCCGGAGTAATGGCTGCTAATTAACGCGTCCTTTGCCGTCGACTTGTTGAGTGGAGCACACGACTCTTTGGCAGTCGTTCGGTCTCAAAGAGAAGACGCAGTCTACTTCAGGGGTTATCCGTTTTCAGTTTTCCGTTTTCCAAGCCCTTGACTTTCCTTTCGAGCATTTTGACCGATGTTCGTTTTAATTAAAAACCTCACTGGTTTGTTGGCGCTTCTGCTTTTGATATTTAATTTAAGAAATATTTACAAAGCATATTCCGCTAAGAGGATAGAGCAAACTATTTCAATAACTTTAAAACTATTCATATACAATTACGCAGCAAAGATATTATATGATTTCCATGTAAAGTTCTTTTATGATTTCGATGTACAGTTTATTATCATAAATATTAGTTTGTTATCTCGAGTTAGGAAGGGCGAACTAGCCTAAAACTAGTTGATTACCAAAGGTTTCAACACTGTTGGCGAGGCTTCAGGAAATTTAGCAAACTGATTAACTTACTATCAACCAGCGGTTGTGTTTGCACAGGAGTCTGATGAAATTTGTAACAAATTCAGGGCGCTGAGACGATTCCCAGTGGATTTTAAGTCGGCTTTTGGCCAAGCCTTTCAGCCAAATCACCACCCCGCAGTGTGTTCCCCTGATTTGTACAAATAGTTACTTGCCTTCCCTCCACTGAAAATGAGGCTAAGCCAAAAAGTACATAGTCGCACACTTGTGAAAATATTTTCCCAATTTTCGGAATAGCCCATTGAAAAGGTACGATTTTTTTTTATAAATAAAAATATTATATACAATTAAATATTGGCTTATAGTTGGATTTACAGTTCATCATTGTTCTTTTCTATTGTGCGATTTATCAATAAAACAACCTAAAAGTATATTTCTTTGCATTGCATATCTTATTTTCCGTTTCTGTGTATTTTAAAATCTAGTTTTTTAGCAATGCATTGTTTTAGACAAAGGTTTTTGCTTTCAAAATAGAAATGGCCATTGAATGGGCAAACAATGGGAATTACTTGAAAGCGAATCTGAGAGTTTTTCTGCGTGTACCTAGGCGCACACTCACACGCACACACACACACCCAAATCGATGTGTGTGGATATCCTTTGCTTTCTCTTCGTATCAGCGTGCAAACTATAAAAACCAGAAGCTCAATTATCAAAATGCTATGTGTGTGTTTGTTTGTTATTTGGTTTGCCTTTGTCTGCGTGTGCTCCCCGTGCGTGTGTGGATGACTGTCCCTGTCCCTGTCTCTCTTCACCATCCTAGTCCCATTTTCCCCATTGTCCTGGTCCATTTCTGTGGATGCGAGCGAGAGGGAGCATCCCGAGCATCTGAAAGCTTTTCCCTTTGGGTTTTTGTGTGTGCGCTCGCCTTTGACTGTGCAAATAGATAAATTTATTTATTTTATGCCCTGCTGCAGGAACCGCACACAAACAACAGGCGGCTGAGACGGCGATAGCATAGAAATTTTCTTTCTATTCCTGCTCTAAAATAAACCAGAAGCCAGAAAAACGAAAAACGAGAAAGAAAAGGGACGCAGGACGCAGGACGAAGGATGAGAGGGATAGCCAGATGCCGGCAGACAACTGACTTTAAATGCCTTTATGCTCACAAAATACATAAATTGAACATTTTCGAGCAAGTCGAAGGGAAAAGGGGCAGAGAGACACTTTCGCTGAATTGGAAATCGCTTTCACAATACCCAAACAGAATAGACTTCGGCCGAAGGAGCGGCAGCCCGACCGAAATGGGTTTGGAAAAATATTAAAAAATTCAATGAAGCTTGCAGCTGAAGGAATGTCGAAGAAAGAATCAAAAGAAACCAATTCCGAGCAAACTTTCCAAGATTAAGCCATAAATAATTCGACAAATGCTACATTTGCTTAAGAAAGGCACCCATTTGGTATAGATAATAAATGGACAGATTGGACTGTTGATGTGCCTGAATTAATTCCACATATCGTGCAATTGAACTGCAATTTTTTGGCAATTAATAAGCTAAACGAAGGTAGTTTGGAAATGCGAGTCTTAGGCAGCATCGAATGTTATGGAAAAAAACAAGAAAATATATTTTCTAAATGAGGTCAGCTACATAAAATCCCTTACTTACTTCCGATTACTTTTGGCGCCTTTGGGGAAGGTTTCAAAAACATTGAGTCTGGATTTTTATGTATATACACACTTATGGTCAATAGCTAAGAATACATTATAAATTATAGTTCAGCTGCAGGCCACCCAAAACCTGGGCGTACGCCTCGTATACGCAATGTGCCTGACAATGGACTCCGACAGGAAGCCAAAGAAAAGCAGTAAAAAAATGTCACATCTTCGAGTATGTAGCATGTGTTAGTGTGTGTGTGGGGGGTGGGGTGGTGTGTTTGGCACAGGATGAGCATTCGTGCGTGTCTCTTTATATCCAAAAGTTTTTGCCACTTTCTTTAGCCGAGCTCAACTTTTGTTATGCTCGCTTAGCTCCGGCTAAGGATACTCCGTCTGAGTCTGCGACTGCCCGGCTATTTTAGTACGCTCCTATGCTGCTTTCGCCTGACTTTCACTTTCACTTCGGTGTGGTTGCGTGTGTACCAATATTTTACACTCCTGGCCGGGGATGAGCTCCGGTTCGAGTTTCAGTTTGTTTGTATAATTTAAGACTAAAACCGATTGGAGAAGAAAAACAAGATAGAAAGCTTTGGTCGATTGAGCCCGACTATGCGATACCCGATACTTATTTGTAATGAAAACAGCCATAGATAAATAAGCAGTAGTTTTAGTATTCTTATTTGAAAAACATTAATATCGAAGTATAGGTCTGGTTTTAGTCTCAACAGATCCTCAGCTCGTGACTTTCCAATCAAGATCACAAATTATACCCCTTTTCACTGGTTAAAGGGAGTGCACACGTGCAGCATGTCAGGTTCAGGGTTCAGTTCAACTCGTAACCGCACCCGCATCCAAAAACATATCCACATATTCACCCAACTGGCCCACTCGGCCTTTTTTATGTGCTTTGTGTGCTACAAATTGTTTGGCTTGGGAAATTCCTGACGTTTTTGTTGAGATTTTTATGGAGTCTCCTTTGGGGCCTGCGGGGTTGGGGTCCTGGGACCTTGGACTGCCGGAGACGTCCATGAAGAGATAGAGTCTAAAACTAATTTGTGGCAACAGGCCGGGAAATGGAAAAATATTGTTATTAATATTCGACAAAGGATGGGCATTCCAATAGAGCACTCGCCCCAGACCCAGAGAGTCGATTAAGTGCCGAACAAATGAAGTGAAAATCCCCCCACCCACTCTCTAATTCACCTTTACCTATTTTCCTGCAGGTAAATGGAGTCTGGGCCCTGCCTGACGTTGTTTGTGATTTCTATATAGCCATGGATGTGATATGCTCTACTTCATCGATATTCAACTTAGTTGCCATCTCCATAGACAGGTGAGTGTTTTTAAAAGCAGACCCCTGGGTATATGATGATTCCTATGTATTTTACGATTCCCACTTCAGATACATCGCTGTGACACAGCCAATAAAGTACGCCAAGCACAAAAATAGCCGCCGCGTTTGCCTTACGATACTGCTGGTTTGGGCCATATCGGCTGCCATCGGTTCGCCGATAGTTTTGGGCCTCAACAACACGCCCAATCGCGAGCCCGATGTGTGCGCCTTCTACAACGCCGACTTTATACTCTACTCCTCGCTGAGCAGCTTCTATATACCCTGCATTATCATGGTGTTTCTCTACTGGAACATTTTCAAGGTGAGTACTGGGGTTGGTAAAACGATCGATAGCCCTCTCGATAATATCGATGGTTTTAAACATTTAAATCGGTATTTTTTTATAATTTTTTAATTCAAGCACTAATTTTCAATTTATTTTAATTTTTTTTACTTTTTGTAATTTGATTTTTTATTTTTTTTCTTATTTCCGATAGTATTGATAATTTTTATCGTTGCCAGTATCGATATACAGATGGTAATTTTGCCAGCATTAGGATTTAAGTCTTATTTTTTTTGGTAAATTAATAACTAAATAGCTTGCTTTGCTTTAAGAGAGCTATTTATTATTTTGCACTAACTCATAAAATCAATTTCAAAACAACTTCTGACACCTTTTAAGTTTTTTTAAATAACTAGAGATTTCTGTGACACCCCATTAAACATACAAACGTGCGCCAGTTTCAAGCGCTATTACTCAGACCGCAATTAAAATCGGATTTTTCCTCGCCGAGTGGAATCAATATTGCTGGCTCACAATTCCCTGCTGTCTGTGGCACAATTTGCCATCTCCAATCAGCAATCCGCAATCGGCAATCTGCAATCTGCTAGCCGGCCAAGAACGATGGGGTCGGGTTTTATGTTTGTTTGTGCACATTAGCTGCTGACTGGTGGCGAATATCCGGAGGATGCAAGCGCAGCATGGCACTGCTTAATCCGCTCCATTCCATTCATCCCGTATCCTGTACACTACACACTGTATTCTGTAGTCTGAATCTCGTATCCCTTTATGCCATATCCTGTATCTGGTATCCTGTCTGGTATCCCATCCGTAGGCCCTGAGAAGTCGGGCGCGGAAGCAGCGGGCGGCCCGCAAGCCCCACCTATCGGAGCTCACGGGCGGCAGCGTCATCGAGAACATCGCCCAGACGCGCCGCCTGGCGGAGACGGCGCTGGACAGCAGCCGGCATGCCAGCAGGATAATGCCGGACGAGGCGGCCACCAACACGGCCAGCGGCTCCAACGAGGAGGAGGACGAGAATGCCATTTCGCCGGACATCGACGACTGCCACGTCATCGTGAACGACAAGTCCACCGAGTTCATGCTGGCCACCGTCGTCGAGGAGACGGGCAAGTGAGTACTCATTTTGCGAAGGCTGTTTGGGCCCTCTAGTTGAGGCTGGGAAAATCATGTAACATAAGCAACCAGAAAAGTGAGCCAAAACAGTGTAACAAATATCTAAATACAAGAAAAATTCATCTAAAATTTTGTATATAGCAATTATAAAAAGCAATTTTTCGCTATAACTGGGCCAATTATGGTCGTACACCAAAATTGCATACTGTTTTGAACAGATCACAATATAATAATTAAGGCCATGACAATTTTCAATTTTTTTACAAAGAGGGTACATCATGATTTTTTACGAAAAATATAAAAAAAATTAAATGTCCATTGTTTAAATGATTCTCGATTGAAAATTTAATAACGAGTTCCTAAGGGTATGACAATCCATATTTGGATCAATATATCATTTGTTTAAGCGAAAAAACTGATTTGTTTTAGAGAAAAAAGATTTTTTTTTTTGGAAACTCTTGATTTCGGTTTTTGACAAATATATGAATCTATTTAAATTTGCTTTTTTTGATGTAAATTGGCCAAAAATTGTCCTACACAAAAAATACTGGATGGCCTTGTTTTAGCGACTGATTAACTCAGCATATACACGTCGTTCGTATTCGGATTGGACATATAGTTTTGCAAAACCACTTAGGTCTTACGTGTGCGGGGCATAAAAAACCAGCAACTTTTAGTCAATTTCCAATTTTAGTGAGAAACTCCGTGGCAGCGAATGAAAGTTTGGGGCTGGGAGTTGAGAGCTCGAAGCTCGAGGCTCGGAGCTACACTCATAAAAATTAATTTCTAAATTTTGGAAATCTCGCCATTGAATCGGCCTACCTTTGAAAATAGAAAAAAAATTTCTTGTTATTAGAAAATTGTCCTTTGAATACAGAAAACCTTTCTTGATGGAAAAAATTCAAGAAAGAATTTTTCTTAAAAATAGAAAAATGAAAATCTCATATGTTTGTTTAGCCGTCGCAGCCAAAACATTTTTGTACGTATTTAAGGACAAAATCACCTTTGAATATATGAATGAAATGACCCTAGAATATAGGAAAGTAGCCATTGACTTCCTTCGGCTGCCGAATGTTAACGACAAGAAAAACGAAGTGGGACGAAGGGCCTACTCGGCCCGACTACTACCCGGCTACCGACTTCTCTGATCCCCCGAGCGTCAGTTGTGAAAAAAATTCGTGAGTGATGGACGTGATTTTCAAGCGGATAAGAGGTGAAGCCTTTTTCCGAATATTCAAAGGTATGTAAATATGTATATTATTTTTTGTATAGCGGGCGTACAATTGTATGTATGTAATTAAAGGATACATTTCAAATCTCTTTACCAAGCGTATACCAATTTAGGTGAATTGTTTTTTAGCTAAGAGCTACGTACATACATACATTTGTACATAAATTTGTGGGTGTACAGTTCTATAATAACTTTATCTTATTACTCGCATTTTATTTATTTTTCAGAGTGAAAATACCTGCAGTTGCATCAGCCAAATAATTTGTTTGTCGAAGCTGTAATTTTGTTTTAAAACCTTCTAAGGTAAGAAAAAATGTTGTATTTGTTTGACATACTTATGTATGCATGTAAATATCTATGCATGTACGCGGCTCACCCGATCTGAAACCCGATTTTCAACCCTTTCATATTCTGCTCCTCTCTCTCTCTCGCTTGACCTACGCGTCGCGACGTTTCTCTCTTCACCTTCTTAAAACTGACACGATCTGCCCTGCTTACATTCGGTCTCCCTTCGCGCAAAGGACTGTATGTAAATATATATGTATGTATGTACGTGTCTCTCCCGTGCCTCTCTCTCTCTCTGAAATTCGATTTTCAACCCTTCATTTTCTACCTGTCTTGCTCCTCTCTCTCGGTCGTCTGTCTAACGTGTTTGTATTTTGGCTATTATTAACATTACATTATTTCAAAAAAGTTGTTTATTTAAAAACAAATCATTGATATCCCAATAACTCTTTTTTTATAGATGAGGAAAGGCGAAGAAAATGGATCACCTTAGGTCATATGAAGTTCAACAGACCTTGGGTAATAATAATGTTTTCTTGAGTCAAAAATGTGTTATTTAAAAATGTTTAAATGTTAAGTGTTAAATGTTTTAAATGTAAATAAATATAATATGCAAAAGAAAAAACCAAGTTACATTTTATTTTTAGGGTTTCAGTGTTAATATATAACTTCCTTTCAAGAAATATTATTTCTTAAATCAAGAAATAAAATTTCTTGAAAGGAAATTTAAACAAGAAAGAATTTTTCTTGTTAAAAAGGTGCCTTTCTAAAAAACCCTTTCTTGTTTTAAGAAATTTAATTTCTTGAAACAAGAAACAAACCACCTTTGAAACAAGAATCGCCTTTCTTGTTTTAAGAAATATTTTTTCTTGTTTTTATGGTGGCTTTCTAAAAAACCCTTTCTTGTTTTAAGAAATTTAATTTCTTAAAACAAGAAATATTTTTTCTTGTTTTAATGGTGCCTTTCAAAAAAACCATTTCTTGAAACAAAGGTGAGGTCGCCTTTGGCAAAAATTCAAGAAAGAATTTTCTAGATTTTAAGGAAATTCTTCGATTTTTTTTTATGAGTGTATCTGCGATGGCCCTGGAAAAGTTGGAAGCTCAGCAGTTTCGTTTCCGTATCCGTATCCTTGCAACTTGCAACCTGGCAACTCTGGCAACCCTGGCACGTGCCACAAACACGTAATAGATAAGCCACCCAGCGCCCGTTTCTGCTGAGTGGTCTCGACTGCACTTCCTTCCAGGTGGCCAGGCGAAGCCCCAAGCCCATGGAAAACTGAAAACTGTCAATCTGATGGCAGGCAGGCTCCGTTCGACCACGGCGCCACTCAATTGGCGACATAAAAGCGGCCAGGCACTTGCCACGAGTGTGCTGCACTTTCAATCAGGTCCAGGTCCTGCCAAAAGGACACCTTCCTCATCAGCCTCTGCAATCAGTTTCCCCCCGAATCTTTATCCGAATGCGAATCCCTGCCCAAAAACCGCCATTAAGTGCGAGCGTTAAGCGCAGCCAATTAGCATCCTGATGGCCTGCTTAATCCAATAAGGACATGAAATGAAACCATTAATGACAGGCTGGATGCACAAAGTGGATGGGCTGGGATGGTATCGAATGGCATCGAATGGGACCGCGGAACTTTTTCCGCCGGCAGAAGAAAAATCACAGCCAATGAAAGAGAAAAATAATTCTCAATAATTCAATTAATGCGTCACTTTATTAAAAACTCAATCTTGCCTTGCCTTTAATTGACGTTGCGCCCCCGATTTTCTTTTTTCTTCTCTTTTCGTCCTTCATCAACGCCGCCGCTTGCTCGCCGTCCCCCGCCGTCCATCGCCGATTGATTCGCTTGATTGATTGATTGATGGATGGTCGCCGGCTCTTATTGCCGTCTTGTTGCTCTCGCAGCAGCGTTGTGGCCCAAATCACCACACAGCCGCAGTTGGTCGTCGCCGATCCGAATGGTAATCATGATTCTGGTTATGCAGCCTCAAACGTTGACGATGTCCTTGCAGGCGTGGCGCCCGCCTCCGTCGCCTCCGCCGCCACATCCGGCGCCCAGCGGAGCAGCGGCTCGCCGCCGGACAGCCCGCTGCCCAGTGGCGCCACCCTCCAGCGGTCCAGCGTCAGCAGCCAGCGGCGCCCCACCGCCGACGACTCGCCGAAGCGCGGCGATCCGACTCTCAGGTCAGTCGGTGTCGATAACTCCAGGTATTTGGACTATTTATATTCTGCTCCCTGTATTTGACCCATTTCTGCAACTCCCGTAGTATTTTATCCTGTCAAAGTTTGGAATACAAAATTTCTTAACTCGAATCCAACATATAAAAAAGTTTGAGTTACGAAGAATTCGAGTTATAGAATGTTTACATTTATTCTCTCTATTGCCCAAAGAAACACTGATAAGAGAAACCGCAGTAAATCCCTTTATTTAAGATTTAATGCATTTTAAATTGAGAAATTTTCCTAATTCAATTAAGAAAATTTTATTAATTTAAAAAGTTAAAACTTTGCGTTTTATAAGAAATTTTAATTTACTTAATGATCGACATCAGCACAAATATTTTTTATATTTTATTTTCAAAATATTTCAAATTTCAATGTTTTTGTATTAAATATAGGGTTTTTGTTTTCAACTCAAATATTAAATACGAAATTTAAATTTAATTTGCTTACCTAAGTTTATTTTTAGGGTCCAGTTAGTTGTTTAATTTACCACTTAGCACAAACAGTTATATTAAATAATGTTTTTGTATATTAAAACCTTATAAAATCCAAATTATTTTAAAGTTTTCCGAGAAAATGTAATTGATAAACAAGATTTTAAAATTATTTTTTTCCGTTTTCCGGTAAATACTGCAAAGATAAACGGCTTATGCTTTTTCTAATTGAATAATCAATCACATGCCCACACAATCGGTTGACTGGGTTCCAAACGTAACCAGAAAATGGCTCACGTATTTAGCTAGAGACCTCGCACGTTTTCCTCGCACTTTTGGCCATGCAAAGAGCCAAAAATAGTTTCATAGCACCGTAGTTGTGCGCTCAAAGATTGCGTTTTCGTTTTCATTCCGACCGCTTCCCCTTTCCCTTCCCCTGCCTTTGGCTCTGCCTCATCCACTTTTGACTTCCGCTTGCAGCGTCGCCATGAAGCCATTGTCCTTTGTCCGCTACGGAGTGCAGGAGGCCATGACTTTGGCACGCAACGACTCAACGCTATCGACCACATCGAAAACGTCCTCGCGCAAGGATAAGAAGAACTCGCAGGCGTCAAGGTGAGTAACGGTGTTGCCCCATAATTACAGTTATTATTTTGGCTTTTCTGTTGGCCAGTTGGGCCACCCCATACCCACTTTCACTCGCCCCTCTTAAACGAAAATGCAATATACACATATATATAACATAAACCATGGCCTATTATCCTTTGCGTGTCGTACAGATTCACGATATACAAGGTGCACAAGGCTTCGAAAAAGAAACGCGAAAAATCGTCGGCGAAAAAGGAACGCAAGGCTACCAAAACATTGGCCATTGTTTTGGGTAAGTTCAACCGCAGGCCCTGAATTTGAAAATATATTTAGTATTTATGCAAATGTGAAATTCTAAAATCTGAAACTGAAAATTCTTAACCCCTAACCACCTTGAACTACCGAACAGGTGTCTTCCTCTTCTGCTGGCTGCCCTTCTTCAGCTGCAACATCATGGACGCCATGTGCGCCAAGTTCAAGAAAGACTGCCGACCGGGTCTGACGGCCTACATGATGACCACCTGGCTGGGCTACATCAACAGCTTCGTGAACCCGGTGATCTACACGATATTCAATCCCGAGTTTCGCAAGGCCTTCAAGAAGATCATGCACATGGGGTGATTAAACAAGCGAATAGCAATAGCAACTGCAAGAATATCCATGATGGATGATGATGATGATAATGATGAAATAATGATATGCCAAATGAAAGCCATCGATGCACAAGAGATCTCAACCGTTGTGCATGGGGCTTTAGATTCGTTTCGTTTGTCGTTCGTTGGCTTCTCCAATAGCATTAAGGTTCAGCTACTTATGTAAATAGATCTGTATATACCTCTATTCGGTTAGGCCCATCCATATATCCCGAGAGTCAGAGCTGTAGGCTAGGTACAATTTTTAACAATTACATTAAGCTAAACCTAACTAGCGATATAATCAAGACAAAACACAAAGGACAAAAGACACACGACAACACACAGTAAACACGCGATTAACATAAGTTACGCTTTAACAGGATAATGTAGTGTTCTTTGTAGGCTGCTCCCGAAAACCTATCACATATCATGAGCAGCAAGCTATTACCAAACACCCACCCCCACCACACAGCCCCCAATATTTGATTAGATAAGAGTGTATTCAAGAAATTCATATCCTTGAAGGTTCTGCTGGCGATTGTGTCGTCGGTACATAGAGTTAGTTAGTTAAATCATCAGAGATAAGGTAGAAAAGCGGGCCTTGAGGTCGGCGCCTTCCACCACAGACACACATCACATGTACGATGGGTTTCCGATACAAAAACAAAAAAAGAAATGGTCGATTGGGAAATGGAAATGGAAACCGAACCGAACCATTGGAGAAGTGACACGCACACACACACGAACAGACACCATAAATCAAATGAGCCCCACAAATGAACACAATATCGAGGGGCGCCGACCTCGATGCTAAAACCCGCTTAGAGCTCACTTTTCGTTCGACTTTCAGTTCATAGAGATGATATATAAGAGCATTTAAGATCCAGAGGTCGTACCTAGGCTAGTCACTTAATATATAGATCTAGGACTCATTATATATCGCATAGTACCAAGGGGGGTAGGCACTATAGGGGGCCTGGGGATGCATAGCAAGGAGGGGGAGAATCAGGGTATCTAGAGCAAAGGCTATCGCATTGCTAGAAGCAATATGCGGGGAAAATCAGAGAAATCAGAGCTCCTAATCGGAGCGCTACCATAGCAGATATACTCATCGGTTTAAGCGTACGTACGTGTATAGTGAAATATCAAAACTGAGTTTTGAAACACGGACCAAGGCCTTTGGTCTGCCGAAAGGACTATCTGAAATCGGCAGGGGCGAAGGCGTTTGGTCCCTGATTTCAACAGCCGTCCTCTTAACTGTTTCTATGTGACAAATAATTGATAGGTAATTACTCCTACTACGTGTAGTAGTTTATAAAACAATTCCATTTATAGTATACAAGTAAGCTTAGGCGTAAGCAGTGTCCCCCAGCTCACATTTCCAGGAAAAGCTCAAAAGTTTTTATACTTTCCTAAAAACTAAAAATTAAAAACCAAAAACTCCAATACAGATATAGAGTCGCCGTGTGTTTGAGTGACTGCTTGAGTAAGTGCGTGTGTTGGTGACTGCTTGTTTTTTTGTCTAAAGTTTAGAACTCTAGTCGATAAGTTTAGGCTAAGACTATGGAAACAGTTCAACTTTCAGATCAGTGCGAAATGCCCTTAAGTTAGGTTCTTCCAAAGGAAACGCTTATTAATTATAGCTAATTGGTAATTTTTGCAATTTGAACAAACTATTTATACGTACACACACACACACATACACACACGTTTACTGTTGATTTATCAAAATTGTAGCCTGAGTTTTTAAATCGTTGAATTGTTGTCTGTTATCGTTAATTTGTGAATGAGATATAGCATAGTTTTAATGACCCTCCGTAGCGAGATCTCTCTACCAATAAAGCATATATATATACGAGTTTGTAAAATAACTGAAATGGAAACATGGAAACTGGAAAACTGAAATGAAAATGAAAACTATTTTAAAGAAATGGCAAGAAATTTGTGGTTTTTTTTTCTAGAAAATTATGAGAATTATAAACTAAATGAAGAACGTAGGCTAAGCTCTATGAAAAGCAAACTATTTCAAAAATAATTATCATAGCTTACGGAAATAATAATAGCGAATAACAACAATAATGTAATGATACCAAATAGGATGTGGAGCGGCCCAAACTGCGTCGGCATAAGAATACATCAAATAAATAAAGCAAAACTGAAAATATTTCAAGGCGAAACCAATTGCGAACTTTTCATTTCGATGGGAGAAAGTTTTCTTTGGGCTCGGTGGTTGGTTGGTATATGTGTAAGTATGGCCCGTTCATTCCCTTTTCCGCTTTTGGTCCCCATACATGCGTATATCAACATTTTATTGCACTTATATGAGCTGATAATAAAATTCCAATAAGCATGAAAGGAAATAAAAATACTTACACAAGACAAACAAGCGGCACAATGGACAGGCTTGGTTGGGTAGCTGGGTAACTGGGTATCTGAGTTGCTGGATAGTGAAATCAATGCGAGAAGGAGCTCACAGCTCACGGCCGTCGCCACCTCTTGGGAAACCGAAAACCTAACTAAGAGCCTCTAAATAGATGAAAGGAGTCGGAGTTGAAGGGCCCCACCACCACTCGTCATACTCTAATGGGTACTCAGCCAGACGGACCAGGAGTTGGAGGCGGAACTCGGATTCGTATTCGAATTCCGATTCGGAGACACAGACCAAGACGTAAATAAATGGGAAGAATGGGTAGGAACTGAAGACCGCCTGACTGTTGTCCGCTTCCTGATACGAAACGGCCTTGTACACTGCGGAAAAACTCGTAAATGTAAAAAAAATTTACCCAAGATTTACCTAAAGATATAAAAGATAAAGATATATCGATTTTTGAAAGTACATGACAAGATCAACATTGAACATTTTGAGGCCATAAGAGATTCTTGGGTACAAAATAGAACTGGAAAATATATTGACTGTTTTCCCTTCAAAACATCGACATTATCGAATTGATATGGTCGAAATATCGAAAATATCGATAATTTGCAAGCTATTGTACGATAGCTTGTATCCAAGCATATATAATTGTTTCGTATTATTAATATTATTCACAGGTTAAAACTTAGATAGCAATGAAGTATATTTAAGGCATTTTAAGGTATACTTTTTTTATTACTTTGGATGCACTTCATTTTATTTAATTTTTTTGACTTATTTCTTTCACTTCCGCCCCGAACGAATGGCAATTTGGTTTTCGCCCAGCTACAGCTCCTCGTTCCTCAAGCCGGGGCTTCATTGTCTTTGAGCTGTGTCTTGGCCTGACCATAAATACGAATGTAAAAAGGGCAACCAGAGCCGACCGCTGACCTCTGCCTACTCCTCCTCCCCCTTCTCCTTCTCCTCCTCCTCGTCCTTGGAATTCCTGGCCATAGATGGGTGTGTGGGAAAAGTTGTTTCATTCGATTGTGTGCCTCCTCGGCTTCGACTTCGGCTTCTCGACTGCTGGGGCGAGAGTTGTGTGCTCTATGTCCATAACTAATTCGAACTAAATGATGTACTAAAGTGTTGAGGGAACACGGATACTCGTGCCCAGAGGAATGGACATTCAGACAGCCAGACAACCAGACGGCAGGAAAGCAGGAAACCAGCACACAAGGAGCTAGCTGCGTATGAAATGTTTTCCGTCTGGGGGCGATATCTTATCGTTACACACACTGGGTGGCGATAATTGACAGACCATTAACGTTTGGATTGCAAGAGCCAAAGTAAAACTACTACAACAATGCGAGAGCGTTTTAGCTGTGTGTTAGCCATCTCCATTCCCATCCCCATCCCTTATCCCCATCCCATCGTTATAATCCATATGCCAGGCTCGATGTCCAGAGAACTGTGTGATTTGCCAACTGTTTGATTCTGCAAGGGTGCTCATCGGCTGATCGAAATATCGGACTAAGATTCCCTCGAAACGTACGAAAAATTAAAGAGGCGTTCCGCCAAAAGAGCCAGCCCAGCCAATCAGCTGGCTCAGGGTATTTCTAACCCCCTTTTTGGCCCCCCCTCTCAACCACTGCGGCTTAACATCTGACCCGGAATGGAATTCTGGCAACCGGAAACTTTACGGGCCAGAGTCAAAATCGAAAAATATGCACACGACCAGAAATAGTTTAAATACAAGGCCGAATATTAAAATGTGTAAGGACTCAGGACTCAGGACTCGGGACACAGGACCCAGGACCCAGGACCTCGGGCGATGGGGTTAGTGCAATCAAGCATGCCTTCTCAGTGGATTACCGTACCCGGCCTGACCTGCCGCCATTTCAACTTCACGGTCAATGACTTTTCAGCCTTCTGGCCGCCGGAAGATGAAAGGATGTGCTCGCAAGGAAGCCGAGTGTCCAGCTATAAACTCGAAATGAACTCTAACTTTAAACATATCTGGGTATCTCAAAAAATTGGTTTTAATGTTTTTTAATACTTAATCTTAATTTCTTACAAATTGTCACCCAATAACTAAAACTATTATTAAATTTTCAAGATTTATTAAAAATAAATAGTTTGTATAAGTTGGTTGTTTTATGTATTTAATACTTTTAAAAATATTTTAAAGTGATTTCTTAATAATATATCGTTTTGTTAAATTTATATTTTTCCTAACAATATTTTCTGAAATATTTTCAACTGTAGTCCTGCTGCCGTTAGGACTTTGCATTTGCTCAAGTGACTGAAAGCCCTTAAAAACATGCACATATATATTTTTTGTAGTTTGCAGAAAAGACCGCAGTCATCGTCATGTTCCCTCTTCAGTTGGCAGGGTCAATATAATTTTACTGTCATCCGATTATCGTGCGGGTTGGTTGCCTGCTTTAACTCAAGATCGATTCAATGGCTTGCCCTCGAGAAGGTCTAGTGTTCTCAATTAACTCTTCGACTCCATTTATGCTTCATCTTTCTGCTCCATTGAGCTGTGCAGTTTCTGGCTTTTAGGATTAGGTTTTTCCTTGAATAAAATAATATATTTTACATTTAATTATCGAGGACCCGATGAAAAAACAAGGTTATCATCAAAGCAGCCCGGTGACTAACCTTAACCTGAATGCCCCCAGCCAAGGCATCAGTATCAAAAATCGTGCTGTGTTTGTTCGGGCGAGTAGAAAAAGTATGAGAAAAATTTCAGAAGTTGTGGCTGCTGCGTAAGAATCGCTACTGGTACTCCCTGGCAAACAGATCTCCGTGCTCGAAAACTAAGAGGCTAAAACCACCGATCAAGATGGTGGAGTTCGCCTTCGACATCAAGCACCTCTTTCCGCAGCCGATCATCCGGGTGCAGGCCCACTCGCTGCGCCCCAAGGTCGCCGCCACCGCTGGACGGATTAACCCCCTAATACCGCATTACCGTCAGCGAATTAACCACCAGTCGGCGGTGGGCCCCAAGTGCCAGCTCAGCCAGATCCTGGACGCCATGGGCCAGCTGTCGGCGGTGGCCCAGGGACTGCGTCAGCCGGTGACCACCGCCGAGAAGCTGGCGCCCGACCAGGTGGTCTACCTGATGGCCGACCACGAGGCGGGACGCTGGAGCGTCGCCGGGCTGCTCAAGGTCGGCACCAAGGACCTCTTCCTGTTCGACAAGCAGGGCTCCTGCCGTCGGGCCGACAAGACGCCGGCCATCCTCGACTTCTACGTCCACGAGTCGCGCCAGCGTCGCGGTTTGGGCAAGCAGCTCTTCGAGAGAATGCTCGACGAACAGGGCTGGCTGGCCAGCAAGTGCTCCGTGGACCGGCCGTCCGAGAAGCTGCTGGCCTTCCTGGGCAAACACTACGGCCTGGTCAGCACCATTCCGCAGGGCAACAATTTCGTTCTCTACGAGGGCTTCTTCGAGGACACCAGCGGCAGGATCTCCTCGGCCCGCAATCGAATGGCGAATGGCAACAGGGCTCGCAGCCAAAGTCAGGGTCACCATCTCCGCCGGACGCAGATGCAGATGCAGCAGCAGGTGCAGCAGCAGCAGCAGAATTACAATCCCAGACACCACCGACGGGACATCCTCAACCAGGGACAGGGACAGGACTGGGACGCACCACGCACCTTCGCCAGCATGGACCACATCCAGGGCTCCAGGGCCAGGAGATCCCACCACTAGGACTCCGGACTACTACTACTTAGATGCACCTTCACACCTACACTCGTTCCCATTTGGAGCACTCACCGCACACCAAATTTCTAGTTGATGTTTAAATTTTAAAGGTTTTTATCTGTTTTTGCCATACAACCCATCCAGAAAAAGACTAAACAAAAAACTACGTAAATTTCATGATGTAAATTCCAAATGCAGTTGCGGCAAAAAAAAATTAAAAAATAATTAATAATTAAAAAAATAAATTAAATATTTACTGGAGTGAATTTAAAGTGTTTAAAGTTCCCACAAAACTTAAAAAATAATTAATAATTAAAAAAATAAATAAAATATTTACTGGAGTGAATTAAAAGTGTTTAAAGTTCCCAAAAATTAACTTGTTAATACAAAATATTAAAATTGGCGAAAATGTTCTTTTTCCAAAATCACACGGAAAGTGTTCTGGATTTATTGATAATTTTGTTATGTGTTCAAAACAGTATGTATATTTGTGTAGGACCATTTTTGGCCAAGTTACAGAAAAAAAACCAACAGAAAAAATTTCATATATTTGTCAAAAACCAAAATCCGGAATTTCCAAAAAAAAAACAGTTTTTTGAACATTTTTTTCCAATTTCTAATTTTAAATTCTTTTTCAATAAGTTCAAAAACGACTATTATTTTGAATGCTATAAACTTGAAAGTTGAGTTATAAATAGCACAGTTGACTTAGGAAGGCTTATTAAATTTTATTAAAGCAAACTGAAAACTGATTGGAAAAATGACCAGCATTTGGACTCCAATCAAACGTTTTCCAGCAATACAAACGCCAGCGGGCCACCGAATTTGCTTGTATTTGCATAGTTTAATTTTCATTTAACTTTTATTTGCCGTCACGTCGCCAAAAATAGCCAACAAACGGCCAAAAATGCAAAATGCCCAACCAATGATTGCCGCTGTTTTCGTTGATTTTCCTCGGTTGTTTGCCCTTGTTGTTGGTTGTTTGTTTGTTTGTTGGGCCGTTGTTGATTCGTTTGCATTGCCATAATATTTAATGGGCAGTCAAAAGTTGATGGGGCCCAGGTCCTGCGATAGGAAGGCTTTGGCATTGGGCTTAGCCATGACTTTGACTTTGACTAAAACCGGTTGCCGGCAGTTATTATGTCGCATCATTTGAACAAAGTGTCCGCACATGCAAGGCAAACAAATTTAAAGAGCGGCAATCCAATCCAACGGATTGGAAGCCTCGAGCATCCATTCTATATGGCCGTATGGCTATAGAGTCATAGAACAAGCATCGAGGAAATGATGTCGAAGAAACAATAGCTATGGGAAAAACCAAATGAAATTCAGTTTAACCGAAGCACACACACCACCACGGGGATACACACACTAATGCGCACCCGCACAACCACACGGACACAGACGTCTGTCCGTGAGTTGAGCGCCCAAAACACAGTGGTGCAAATATTAAAATTGAACATTTTTGTCACGTGTCAAATGCCATTTATGCGCTTCGTGATCGCACGCGGCTCAGAGCTGGGAACCTGGCCAGATATACTTCTATATGGGGGCAAAAAAGGGGTGTCAGAGGGTTAAACAGCCAGGCAAAGTCGGGCGACAGATCCGTCTTTTCTGACTCTCGGCATGTCCTACATTTGGAACATTTAAATTTTTTAAAAAAACATTCAACATTTTCTTTAATCCCTCAACTCAACGAAAGTTGAATTAAATTAGATCGCTATATTTTAAACTAATCGATTAATCAGCAAAAAACGAAAAACTAATTACTAATTATATATACAGCTCGTAGAAAAGTTAAAAAGTAGAAAAGCGAAAACAAAAATTAGTCTTTCTTGCTTTGCCTATTCTTTTAAAACATTTAAGTGTTGGTGAAAAGTATAAATTTAATTATATTGCTTGGATGAAAATAAAATCAAAATATTAGAAGATATTAAACTTTTATTTCGAATATAGCAAAAAAAGTGAAAATGTCGATTGGTTTTAAAGACAAGGTACTTTCTGATTTTTAAATATTTAACTTGAATCAAATAAATTTTAAATGTTTAAATTATAGTCCTGATTATAATCCACATTTTCAATATGACTTTTAACTTTGAAATGGGTATCTTGTTATTTGTACCTTGTCTTTAATGTTTGTGTTGGCGTTAGAGGGACGCCCACGCAGAATTTTATTTTAAAGCCATTTCTCGGTTTCGCTTCGGTTATTTGTAAAATAACCCCAAAAGTGTCAGCTGAAGTGCGGAAGTGTGTGGCTGCGAGTGTGTGGGACAGTTTTATTAGCATATATCGATTGCACTTAGACGACGCTGGCAGCGACGTCGGCAGAGGCCATTGTGCAAACTAAGTAACGGCAGAACTCGAAAACTCTTGTTTCTCTTTGCTTACCTTATTGTTTTTAATTAATTTATGGCTTGCACAAAGACAGAGGCGCACATACCAAAGCACATATATGTATATATATATATATATTCATGTTATACATATGTAGACCGGCACGTGTGCTGTTAAAAGGAAATGGAGAGAAAAAATAAAAGTGATTTCAAATTTGATTTTCATTTATGATTTTAATTCGTTTTGTTTATATTGATTTATTTCAGCATATTTATTTAGCAGCGCTCTCTGTCGCACATTTCTTTCTGTTCTGTTGGCTTTAAAACGCATTGCGGTAGTTTGCAATTTGTTGGCTGACAACACGGCGTATGAGCAATATTGCATATGCGCCCGGAGAATCGAGTTTTTATCTTGAATTTGAATTTGAACTGGATGACAAAGTTCGGATTTTCTTTGGTTTTGTTACACATGCACAGTATCTCAGATTTCGGGGGAAAAAAGAGCTGTCATTTATGGTTTAGTTACCGTCTCACCGTTGGTGCACCACACGGCGTATGCGCAATGTTGCGTACAGGCGGAGTTTCCCAGAAGGCAATTATGAGTGAATTCTACGAAATAACTGGCAAAAGGAATCGAATGTCATTTACGTGGAAGGCATGGGGAGGCTTTTTCATGGTTGGAAACTGACATTCAGGGAAATGACATTCACCGAATGAACCTTTGTCCATGCACCCGGATTCCTGCCTTTCACCTGCCTTTCCACCGAATCCCCACCGAAATCGAACTTTAAGTTCCCTCGCCCGCTTCTATTTATGCCCTCGGTTTTGCCCTGGATCTCTAATTTCCTTGCCCAGCACAGAGGACTCTCCGCTTCCGCAGAAGTGAAAATCATTGCCAAATGGCAGGACACGTGTTACTCACTGAGTGACAAACGCTGTCCCACTCGCCCATAAACAGGGGACCACGTTTAAAAATAGCCAAGCAAAGTGTGTGGGGGCTTGTATGAATATTAAATTGCGATAAATATCGAGAACCCCCAAGGGTTGCTAAAAATACTCTAAAAATATATATATTTCTAAAAGGATACGAACAGTATAAATAGAAAATACACTTGAAGTGTTTCTTGGTATGTAGCGAATTTAAGATGTATCTCTACATCTTGGAATGAAAATTGCGTATGGGTAATTTATTGTATCAGAAAATGGGCTAATTAAATAAAATAAAAATTGGATCTGTATCTTTGAACATATTTAAGTGATTTAACTGAAAAGAATTGGAATTTATTAATTATTTTTATTTCCGATCAAAATATAAGATTAATTTTAAAGGCAATCTTACTTGTTTAGAAAGGGATTGGCTTGGGTATCTTCTTATATTCCTTCTATATTCATCTGATGTCCGAGTAATATCCTTAGTGCGCTTTAGCAGTGTAAACCGTGTAAATCATTTAAGGGGTTTTTACTTCCGGATGGCTTGAAGATTGAGGAGCGATGGCTGTGCTCTAAAAAGCTGATAATGCAAAAAAGCTTTGAAAATCATTTGTTACACTACGCGTATGGTTGACTGTAAAGTGCCTCTGAAGGCACTCACTCCGTCTCTGTCCGTCCCGTTTCCCCATCTTCCCATTTTCCATTTTCACCGTCCCCCGTTTCTTTTCCTCCTACTTCTCACCGGCCATGCTGTAACAATAATGTGCACTTATTTTTTATGGCAATCATTTAAGACAAAAATGTAGCTGCGGCAGAACGAAGTAGAAGCAGGGGCTGAGGCAGAAGTAAAATAAAAGCAGCCAAGTCCCTCAAAAGAATGAGAACAAGAAGGACCTCTTACAAAAGTATTTGTACAAGAGTCCACATATCTAAATGTTTTGTGAGTGGCTGCGCCGTGCTGTGTAAGTGTGTGTGTAAGCGGGGCAAGCAACAAAGTGGGGCAGGCAGGAGGCGAAATGGCGCCCAAAATGTTTGCCCAAGCCAAAGTTCTGAGGAGCAGTTCAATGCGACTCCCAGGACTCCCGACTGTTGCTTTCTCTCTCTCTCTCAACGATGATGATGAACGTCAATCAGGGAAATTGCCATTTTTTCCAACAATTTTTCACTCGTTCTCTGTGCGTTGAGCCGCGTTTGACGTCAGCAAGCCGAAATCGAAAGCCAACTTCGTTTTTAGTCGACTGGCTTTCGAGCGGTCGAGAATATCGTTGCATTATCCATTATCCTGGATTGTACAGCTTAAAAAAATAGCAACAGTTTGCCATTTCTCGATACCTAATTTGTGTTTTCTTTTCAAAATGTCGAAATTATAAAACCATATCTTCCAAATAATACGTTGTGAATAAACATGGAAACAATACAACAAAGCTCCTACGAAATTCTTATATTTCCTAATTATAATAATTGATATTTTTTGGGATTTCTTTATTTACAAACTTTTAAGATAAATTCCTAATGCAGCCAAATTAAATGTTCTTTAAAGTTTAAACTATATTTCGTATCTAAAATAAATCTGTTGGCAAATCTTCTGAAACCTTTTCCTGCCAATTAACACGTATAACGCTTTTGTTTTTCCATGAATGCAGCTGTAACCCCAGATCAACTAATTAACTGAGCTCTCATTTCCTTTTGTTCCTCCAGTTTTTCAGTTTCGCCCGCTTTGCCTCGCTTTTACCCCATTTTTCCCGATTTCCCCGTTATCCCCTTGTCGCCTGGTCAGCAGTTTTGCACTGCTTTGCATTATCTACTCGTTCAGCTTTCATGTTAAAAGTTTAACCAGCCATGAATTTCCGCTGCACATTCTTCTATAATTTTCTTAACGCAAAAGTTTTTGCGACAATTACGTACGTGTGGCCAGGTGGGTTACTTGAAAGCAGGTTTGGGTTTTTGGGGTTTCAGGTGGGTGGAACGGC